CTGCATAAATATTCAAATAAATCTAAGAAAAGTCAAAAATCAGCTCCTTTAAAATACATAGCCACAAAACTTATCTGAGAAAGACCTTTTTCTTTCTTGGATTCGTTGTATCGACGGCAGCCACAAAACTTATCTAAGAAAAGTCAGAAATACCAGTCAGAAATACCTTTCACCAAACAAAAAGGTTTTTTAGGTTTTAGACATAAAAAAATTTTCACTTTTGGAAAAAGCCAAAACTTTTTCAAAAAAAACAAAAAAAACCACTCAACTTTCAAATCAAAGACATACAAATGTATTGGATTCCTTAGGAAATTTAAAAATAAATAAGGGCATTTTTGTCCATTTTTGCTTCTTGTCAGAGAGCCCAAAGATCTATAAATTGGAGACAAACATATTATCTCGGATATAGAAAATTATATTCCAACAAAAAAAGAAAATCGGAAGTTTATAAAGATGGTGGAGACCAAGCACGAGCAGTCGGTATGTTTTATTCTTTTGTTCCTCTCTTTGTTAAGATCCATGCCCAATGTTATATCTTCTGTAACTAAGCAAAGAATTGTTAATCATGTGACTTAATCACACATTAATATTATTATTAATTAAACATCATGTTAATCAGATAGGATCAAGTATCGCAGCTCACACAGTACCCCGTGAGGATGGGTTAGAATGGGTGAAAAAGGATAGTCGTCGTTTCCTGCGTGCCAATATCAGAGTTAGTGATCTTGATCAAAAGGAGATGGAGGGGAGGGGGGGGGGGGGGGGGGGGGATGGTTGACTAGCGGCTAGGTTATGATGGTTTAAAAGAAAATAGTGTTGGGAAGAAAGAGTGATAAAAGAAAATAATATTGGGAAGTCTATGCAAATATATCTGAATCTATAACAAAAGTTCATACCGAAGTATGGAAGTCTATAATAAAAGCCTATACAAGTTTATTAAAAAAATCCGGATAAAACCCATAGGAGTTATACAATTCTAGAAAATATGTCACTTAAAAAAAAAAACTTTCAAAATCGTATACAATCCTAATTGAATACACCCCCTAAATGGTTCTTCTTAGTTCTTCAGTTCTTGATTTTTTTTTCAATCCTTTCTTATATACAGAAAATAAATGATATTTTGTCTGATACCTAAACTTTTTTTTTTTTTTTTTCTGTTTATAAAAGAAGGTTCCATTTTAATAATTCTCTGCATAAATATTCAAATAAATCTAAGAAAAGTCAAAAATCAGCTCCTTTAAAATACATAGCCACAAAACTTATCTGAGAAAGACCTTTTTCTTTCTTGGATTCGTTGTATCGACGGCAGCCACAAAACTTATCTAAGAAAAGTCAGAAATACCAGTCAGAAATACCTTTCACCAAACAAAAAGGTTTTTTAGGTTTTAGACATAAAAAAATTTTCACTTTTGGAAAAAGCCAAAACTTTTTCAAAAAAAACAAAAAAAACCACTCAACTTTCAAATCAAAGACATACAAATGTATTGGATTCCTTAGGAAATTTAAAAATAAATAAGGGCATTTTTGTCCATTTTTGCTTCTTGTCAGAGAGCCCAAAGATCTATAAATTGGAGACAAACATATTATCTCGGATATAGAAAATTATATTCCAACAAAAAAAGAAAATCGGAAGTTTATAAAGATGGTGGAGACCAAGCACGAGCAGTCGGTATGTTTTATTCTTTTGTTCCTCTCTTTGTTAAGATCCATGCCCAATGTTATATCTTCTGTAACTAAGCAAAGAATTGTTAATCATGTGACTTAATCACACATTAATATTATTATTAATTAAACATCATGTTAATCAGATAGGATCAAGTATCGCAGCTCACACAGTACCCCGTGAGGATGGGTTAGAATGGGTGAAAAAGGATAGTCGTCGTTTCCTGCGTGCCAATATCAGAGTTAGTGATCTTGATCACACCATTAAGTACGTGCTTTGGCAAAATCTAATTGCATGTAAATTTGTTTTAGGCCTTATCTTATACATTAATGGAGGAGTTTAACTGATTTGTTCTTACAATATTTATAGGTTTTACACGGAATTTTTTGGGATGAAAGTGTTGAGTAGAAAAGATTTCCCAGAAGAAAAATACTCAAATGCAGTTGTTGGGTTTGGACCTCAAGAGACTAATTTTGTGCTAGGCCTCACATCCTACCGTATGTTATATAATTTCTTCACTCCAAAACTTTATCATCTTAATCCAAAAGAAATCTTAAAAGTATGCTTGTAAATCCTCTAAATGTTAACCATAAGAAACCCTAAAAGTATGCTTGTAAATCTTCTTTTTGCTATCCTAATTCACAGACAATGCAATGGACAATTTAGACGTTGGAACAGCCTTCGATCATTTTGGAATCACAACTCAAGATGTGAGTATCACTCTATTTACAATTTCGTGCCCTTGACATTTTTAAACATTCAGAAATAGTGATCGTTAATTTGGTCACACTTTTGTTTTCGGTTTATCTTTAGATTTATAATACAGTAGAAAAAATTCGAGCCAATGGAGGAGTCATCACTCGCGAACCAAGGCCACTCACAGAAGGCGGGACTTCCATCTTCGCCTTTGTGAAGGATCCCAATGGCTACAGTTTCGAGCTCATCCAGAGGCCGCCAACTCCAGAACCACTTTGCCAAATCTGCATTAATGTGTTTGACATTGATCGCTCTATTGAGTTCTACAATAAGGTCTGTCCACTTTCTTATTAGAAATCTTTGTTTTTATTCATAATAAGTTATAGTAACTTTTCTTAATTATTCTCATATTTGATGTAGTCCTTGGGGATGAACCTACTACATCCCAAGTTTAACGCTACTGAACAGCAGGTAAATTTTTATAAAATATATATATATAATATAAGAACCGGGAATTCGAACTTAATGCATCTTCTAACCGGAAAAAAATCTTATTTTTAATCTTTCTTCTTTCTTTTTTTTTTTCTGCTTCTTGTGGTGCAGTATACTATAGCTATGTTGGGTTATGGATCCAATTTTACTGAGACGACTATTATCGAGTTGAAATACAATTATAACGTGACCCAGTGTACCAGAGGAAATGGATATGCACAGGTGAGCAGAAAGATAATAAAATAAAATAAAAATTGCCTATCTTTTTGTTTGGGGGGGGGGTTTCGTTGACCATGACTCAATTTGAAGTCCTTGTTCATTGATTTATATTTTCTAATCTTTTTAAATAAATTGTTGGATTAACTACACTTTAGTACCTGGAGGTTTAGTGTCAGTATCGAAATGGGCCTCAAGGTTTCATTTTAATCAATTTCGTACTCAACATTTTCAAATATTACCAATTTACACCAGCCGTTATATTGACCATCAAAGTCAAATGTTAACTGCTGACGTGGCAGTCGTGGGACTCACCTCATAACCAAACAGTAGTTAAAAAGAGACGAAATGAATGGCAATTTCAGAAAAATAAAATAAAAAACTCTTTTAAAATATTATTAAATTAGATTTTTAAAAACAAAAGAAAAAAAATCCCTACTTTCTCTCTCTCTCTCTCTGCCCAGAACTTGAAAACCCAACTCACATCTTCGACCCATCTCCGACCACCTCCTAGCCATCGCCAAAAACCACCTTCCACCGACTACCACTAGCCATCGCCCACCATCCATAAACTTTCTCCAACCAAACAAAAGGGAAAATGTCCTCATCTCGCTTCCAAAAATTTTATCAAGGCACCCATGCCTACTTCGTGAGTTCATAGCTTTGCCGACCAAACCCCTTCCTTGTTGCGAGTTCATAGACTAAGATAGAGAGTGACAGAGACAGACAAAGACAGAGAAAGAGAGGGGGCAGAGAGAGAGAGAGGAGGAGGTTCACAGAGAGACAGCCAAACCCCATCCTCGACATAAATGACCTCTACCTTCCGCTCTCGCCCAGCCCCCAACTCCCTCCAAATCCAACACCCATTCCCACCCCAACCATAGATCCAGCCCCACCCCTTTGCCCCTGAAAATATAAAACCCAACCTCACCCTAACACTAGCCAACCTCCCTCTCTCCAGATCCGACGAGCCCCACACTAGATTCGTCATCTTCGTCTTCGTTGCCAAGGCCACACCACCCTCTTCGTCAAGGCCAAGCCATCGTCTTCGTCACCAAGTTCTTAGCCTGCCGCAACCCACAAATCCGCCCCCCCAATTTTTCGAGCCTTCGAAGTCCCCAACTCATATTCTTCAGATCTTTCGAAAACCTCTGTTTCAGTATGATTTTTGCAGTCTATTTCAAATTTTTGCACTCCAAACCACGAACAAACCCTTAAACCCTCAAACCCTCTCCTTTATGTCTGTCTCAGTACACGAACACAACTCAGAAACTGAGTTTGTTCGATTTTTCCAAGCCTGTTAATCGAAGTACGCCTTGGAACGCGTGCGAAGCTGATCTTTTTTTTTTTTCGAAATTGCCCATCATGACGTCTCTTTCTAACTACTATTTGGTTATGAGGTGGGTCCCATGACTGCCACGTCAGCAGTTAACGTTTGACTTTGACGGTCAATGTAACGGTTGGTGTAAATTGGTAATATTTCGAAATGTTAGGTACGAAATTGATTAAAATGAAACCTTGGGGCCCATTTCGATACTGACACTAAACCTCCAGGTACTAAAGTATAGTTAATCCTAAATTGTATTTCAAGGTTGCTATTGGCACTAATGACGTGTACAAGAGCGCAGCAGCTGTTGAACTGGTTACCAAGGAACTTGGAGGGAAATTAATTCGTCCACCGGGTCCAATCCCAAAAACCAAAACCAAAATCACTGCATCCCTTGACACAGATGGCTTTCAAACGGTAAAACCTCCTTTGATTGCATAGTTCATATATATATACATATATATATATAGATATTTAACACAAGCTTACAGAACCATTCTTTGTTAACCTCTGTAGGTGTTGGTGGACAATCAAGACTATCTTAAAGAATTGAAGAAACAGTAACTTACAACTATAAGATCGGATATATTAACCAATAATGTTTCATGGCATGCTTGTTAGGTTATCCTTTCTACAGATGTATTTTTTAATATATGTTTGTCAGTTTTGCCATGTAACTGAGCAAACCTTAATTTCTGTCTGTACCTTGTAATTCATCTTTCAATAACTTTTTGAAGGTATCTTCAGTGCATTCTCTGTGAGGTATGATCTTCAATTCCGAACAGAGTGCCAAAACTTCATAAGGATCCAAGTGCTTAAAAATCTCTGGGTCTCGATCGTAATCCTGACAGCATGAAATTTATATCAAAGAAAGAAATAATGAAATGAGGAAGTCGGACGCTCTACATCAATTCAATTCAAAGGGCAGGCATCCCTCCCACAGATCTGGCCAGCGCCCCAAAAACCTAAACTAACCAAGAAAATTATTTAAGAAAAGGTCTTACGAAAGAAAAGAAAAGGACTGATATGCTACTCACCTTTTCCGTGACTATAACAACTGGCTTGTGCCCAAACGTGTCCTCCAGCTCTCTTAGTCTCCTCCTGATCATCTCAATATCCTACATTTGCCACAAAATCACAAAGCTTGAGATATTACCATCTAGATCAACATTTAGCTAACCCGGGGGTTATATTCCGTTTTAATGTAGCTTTGCACGCCATATACTTGTGTTTGATCAGCAGATTGAAATTACTTAAATTGACGAGATTATAATAATCGCAGATAAAAACAAGTTTTACATCTTGTTTCTCATTTGGGGAAGCGAAAGGGCCATGAATGTAAAGGGATAAGGGCTCTACCACGTAAGCTAAAAGCCCCACATGTATTTTACATTTTACTTATGCAGTAAGCATATTAAAATATAAAGGTGTCTGCCCCATCATTTGGTTCAAAAAAAGACACTGCACATGACAAGAATCTCATGTCAAAGAAGCGAAAGATTTAAGTGGTACCTTGGCCTGAAATATGTGATGATCACTGAATTCAAGGCGATCAACATAGAATGCTCCTATCTGCAGCAAGTTCAATTCAATTTAGAGATGGAAGCACAGACAGGAGAAACAAGCTAAGTAGTAAAGAAATAAGTGGTGCCCACAGAATTTGTCACCGGACCAGAAAACGACACGTATGAAGTTTCTTAGCATCTCCAAGAAGCAAATTTGAAAATTAATTGCACAGCAGACACACACAAATATGTTTACGTATGTATCTGCTTTGCATATATTTGAAAATTAATTGCACAACAGATGCACACACACAAATATATTTATATATGTATCTGCTTTCAACAAAGGAGAGGTGGCCAAGAGTATAATACCTTCTCAACTCCCTTCACAAATGCATTTGATGAACCAATGGCAGAAACACATAATACAATGCTGTTAGACAAATCCCTCAGAGGTTTTCTGGAGTTGACATTTCCCACGTCAAAGAAATAACAGGGATCCATTTTAGTGAAGAAAATAGGAAGAGATTTATTAACTTGTTGTAGCATCAAGTCAATATCTTTGAGATTTTGTTCTGAAACCTGTGAGATTCGCAAGCATAAACTTTTGTGTCAATTACAGACTTCCACTGGCTAACATACACAAGGGCTGAGACAAAATCCTTAACCCACTTTTTTTAAGGGAAAAAAAAAGTAAAGATCAGTTTATATACCAAATCTGCATGATGGAGTACAACAACATCTGCCCGTCTAAGCGCATTCAAAGGCTCCCTTAATGGTCCACGTGGGATTAAGTGACAGTTGCCCCATAGTGTTAATCCGTTAACCATTACAATCTCTAGGTCACGCTGCAAGCTCCAGTGCTGTCTTCCACATATTTATAAAATAAAGTAAAAGAATAGCACCTCAATGAGCATGAAGGAGTGGGATCACAGATCCTCTAGGTCACCAATTGATGGAGTGGCAGACTAGCACCCAAAACACATATACAAACTTAAGAAAAAGGAAAAAAAAATTGGTAGACAACAAGAAGCTCTACATTTTAAAACATCTCAACAACATGTTAAATTTTGATTCAGGCCAATTTGCCATGTCCCCTAAACTACTCTACTAATAACCACAAAATCACCCTTTCCTTTGCTATCCCACATTAAGGATATAGAACATTGTCTAAGTTACACTCAAAGATCACATACCACTACTTGGTAAAGACTTAAATGATAGAAAGTGCATCCTAAGTCCCCAAAATGGAGGGAAAAGAGGAAAGAAATAAGGATAAAGTATACAATTATACCTGCATTCCATCGTCAAGAATTACAGCACCAATTGTTTCTGAACTAAGATGACCCCCCACTTTCGGTTCAATGCACAGTCCATCAGAGCGTTTATTTGTAGAGCTAGGATCAACATAACCATATCTTTCAAAAAATCGAGCAGCAACAGCTGCCCGTTTTGCACCCACACCAATCTTTACAGGCCTTCCAAGTAAATGCCTACGAAGCATTTTGGCTTCATCCCCACCAGCATAACCCTGCCAACGGAAATATCACTTGAAATTTCATGGACACTTTAAATCAAACATGAAGATCGATAAATGTTAAACAATATACAAAAGAAAATTAAATAAAGTAAAAGTACCCTAGTAAGAATGAGAGGTGAAATTCCTGAATCAGCTAAAATGCGAGCAATGAACTCTGCCATCGGAGTTTTCCCATTGCCTCCCCATGTCAAATTCCCAACACTGATCACTGGCACCGGCAACCTTCCAATTCAATAATTTCTTCTTAATTAAAGCTAAAATAAGAAAATAATTATACAGAATCATTTCAAGCAAGAGCTCTGCATCGATTCCATCTAAATTGGCATGATTTGGGCTTGAACCAGTTGAGCTAAAACTTCTAAACAATACCTACAGACAAACGCTACCGTTTGGTTTCTCAGAAAATATGAGAAATGCAATAAAAGTCAAGAGATCGCGTTAAAATTGATATAGCACAACTGAATTCGACTCATGGCCTCTAGCGGTAACGGTCTCAATTCAGCCAGGGTCCACAATTGTTCTGTTTTATTTTCCGAGCAGCCAGACAGAAGAGAAAGAATGAAGTGGAGATCGGAGGAGATATATTACCGGTGCTTTCTGAAGACGCCAGAATGGTAGAGAGAGCGGCGGAGAGAGAGAGCGAGCTTGTAGAGAGAGGAGGCGAAGCGGAGGACAGGGATCAGAGAGAGTTGAAGATGAGTGAGCTTAGCGTGGTTCTGAGCGTAGGCGATCTCGCTCACTGCTTTTCTCAGTTTCTGCATTGAAGACGGCGAAAGAGCCAAGGAAAAGAGGAAAACCCCGGAAAAGAGAGGGAAAGATCGAGGGTTTCAGTTCAGTTTAATTTGCTGTTTACTTTGTTGCAGGCTCGTGTCGTGCAGTTCAAAACTCAACGACAGTTTTTTCTTTTCTTTTTTAAATAAAATAAAATAAAAATCTTTCTAGTAGAAAATTACAAAAAACTTTTCCTAAACTTTTACTATACTTCTCAAAATTTATACTTGAGTAACATGAAAAAAATCTTAGCCGCTGCCCCTTATAGGGTCTGGTGGCCCCCTTCCCTACGTCCTGCCCACTCCTTTCATCCCTTCTTTTCTCCTCTCTTTCTTTTTCCCTCAAGATTGTTAGTTTATTTTGTGACGTGAAAGTAGTCGTCATGATATAGTCACCGCATTTTGGCCCACATACACAAGGACTTGGCTCCCTTCGACTTAGTTTGGAGCTCTAAAGAGGGAAATATGTCTAGTTGCGTTTGGTTTGGGTTTAGCTAGTGCGAGACTATGGGTTTAGTATGTATGATGCTATGATTTTCTTCGGGTTACCCGAAAGATGTGGAGTGGTGGTCATGTTTCTTAGTTTTGTTTTAAACTAATAATTTTCAGAAACTCTGTAGGAGTTTGTGCGATTTATTTTTTATTTAGGATTTTTATCTATTTTTTATTTTTGGCTTTCAATACGTATTTGCCATTTCTACCATTGCGCGACATATTTGTATTGTATGTATGAATACATGTGCTTCTGGTTGCTGGATCAGGGATTTAGTGATTGTTTAGGTTGTGCGTGATTCTCTACAAATCAATTCAACATGTTGATGTATTTGGTCACTGGAGAAGATTTACCCATATTCGGCACATAGTTGTTTTGTTCATCAATAATATACTCTCGCTTATTTTCAACACACACAAAAAAAAAAAGATAAAAAAAAGAGTAATATCATCCTTAAATTTAGAACTAGTCAAAATACACGCGTGACGAATTATCAAACTTTTCTTTTCTCATTTTGACTTTAATATTGGTGATTTCACCTCATTAAAGTATCCAATTAACAAAAAGAGAATATTTTTATTGACCACCCTTAATTGACTCGGATGAAAAATATTCTTAAACAAAAATAGAAATTTATGAAGAAAAAAAAATTAACACAAAAAAGTAACACTTTTATTGTGCTTTTTATGTGGTAGAGAAGATATTTACAAAGAAAAAAAAAAGAACACTTCTGCTCCCAGTCAAAAATTGGACCAGTTGAAAATATTAAAGAACTTGAAATGCTAGGATCCTCTAAGAAAGTGTCTTGAATTATATCAAAGGCTATCAAACCACAAACTATCATTGACACAAATGATGTATGATGACCGCCTTAGAGCATGTCCACCCCAAAAGGCTAAGAGCATCTCCACTCACAAGGGCTAAGTCTAAGGCAAGGGCAAGCAAGGGCTGCAACTATTCACGTGAATAGTGTTAGCCTTTGCATTTGTGGTTCCACCCATGAGGGCAAAGTCTAAGGCAAGTCAAGGGCAAGAAAAAAAATATATATGCAACAAAATATAAAATTGTTATGTATTTATAAGGAAAGTGAATAAAATTGTTATGTATTTATAGGGAAAATATCCATAAATTTTTGGTTTTTTTTTAAAAAAAAATTGAATTTTTTATAATTTTTTTGAATTTTTTTTTGCTCGCTGACGTCAGCATAACACCAGCGTTGACGTCAGCGCTCTCGGGCTGAAGCCCAGGCGAAAGTTGCCCTTGGGCCTGCCCGGGCTGGTGGGACCCAGCTATTGCCCGAGCTCTTTTCTGCGCGCTGGAGGGGAGTTGGGCTGCTAGGGGGGCCTTTTGCCCAGGTTTTGGGTGAGCGCTGGAGATGCTCTAAGGCTAAAGCTAAGGCAAAGCAAGGGCTGCCACTATTCATGTGAATAGTGGCAGCCTTGCCTTTTTTGGTTCCACTCCAAAAGGCTAGGGTAATTGAATTTTTTTTTGCTCGCTGACGTCAGCATAACACCAGCGTTGACGTCAGCGCTCTCGGGCTGAAGCCCAGGCGAAAGTTGCCCTTGGGCCTGCCCGGGCTGGTGGGACCCAGCTATTGCCCGAGCTCTTTTCTGCGCGCTGGAGGGGAGTTGGGCTGCTAGGGGGGCCTTTTGCCCAGGTTTTGGGTGAGCGCTGGAGATGCTCTAAGGCTAAAGCTAAGGCAAAGCAAGGGCTGCCACTATTCATGTGAATAGTGGCAGCCTTGCCTTTTTTGGTTCCACTCCAAAAGGCTAGGGTAAGGGCAAGAAAAAAAAAGAATATGCAACAAAATATAAACAATGTAGAAATGCAAGAAATAAAATGATTATGCAAGAAAAAAATAAATATGGAAGAAAATATAAACAATTTACAAATGCAAGAAAAAAAAAATGATTACAATTTTCAAATATTGGAAGGAGAAGAGTTTGTATGAGGATTTGGTGTGAAAAGTAAATAAAATTGTTATGTATTTATAGGGAAAACATCCATAATTTTTTGGTATTTTTTTATTAAAAAAAATGCTCTTTTTTTTTTTTTGCTCGCTGACGTCTGCGTGACGTCACCACTAACGTCAGTGCCTTCAGGCAAAAGCCCAGGCAAGAACTACCTTTGGGCTTGCCCGAGCTCTCTTTCCTTCGCTGGAGGTCCAAACCCCGCTGGGGGGGCCTCTTGCCCTGGCAAATTGGGCTGCGGTGGAGGTGGCCTTACATGTAAGACAATAAATTGGCCGTCATAAAAAATTTGCCAAAACATAGAACGTTAAAGCTAATTAAACAAAACTTGAGCATATTCATTGGGAAAGTGTTGTCCAGATATGTTATTAATTGCATCCACGATATGAAAGCATTGAAGAGTCACTTTCAACAACAATTATAATAGGATGGCTCAAGCGCTCAATCAGTAAATTAACCACTCATTTGGATCCACTCTAATATGTCATATCATGATCTAAACCGTTTATTTTTTAGGTAATCATTCAATGAACATTCGCTACCCAAAAAAAATTAGCCAAATCAAACATTGTTAGTAAATGTCTATTTATTTAATAACATTTTAGATGACCATATGTTGTCAATCTTGGATAATTTTTTGCATTTTTTATCTTTGAATGAATACCTAACAAATGAATAGTTCAAATCATGAGATGACATTGTGGAATGGGTTCAAAAGAGTGGTTAGCGTAGCATAGTATAATAGTAGTTTTTTTCTTCAGAAATTCTGGGATTGCATTCATAATTCAGCAAAAAAAGCAACTAGTCACAAAAGGGCCATTACAATAATAGAGCGATCAGACATCAAAATTGAGACAACATAGTGTTCATCCACTAACAATCACGTAGGATCAAAGAAACTCTGGCATAGGTATCCTAACTAAGAGTCCAGACTCATAACAAAAAAAAATAGATAAAGCTTGAAAAAACCAAGCCATAATAATACAAATAAAACTCTCACAGAAGATAGGTGGAAAACTTTCACAAAGGAGAGGTGAAAAACTCTCACAAAATGATAGGTGAAAACTACACAAAAAACCCAAAGAGTCTCTACGACTTATTCCAAATATGAAGAAACCACAAAAAGTATGGTGGTAGAGATCCAACACTTAAATGCAGGTGGAGATCCAATGCCGAGACACATTCGCCTATGATGAGTAAAGGAAAATCATAACAAAATGAAGACAAATAGGGGAAACCTTTTGTCTCTGAAAATTGGGGGAAAAGAGGGGAAGGGAGGAGGGGAGAAGGGAGGAAGATCAGTGGCTTCCTCTCCCCTCAAAGTAAGTAAAAATGGCTCTATAGTGTTTTTTTGGGAGAAATGGGGCTAAGATTTCTAGTGCCACTTTTTTATAAGGCTTAACTGGTGATTTGTCGCCTGAATTTGTACCTAGCTTTCTATTTACTCCATATCCTTTTATCTATTTATTTTTAGAAAATTAAGGATATGAACATTTTTTTTTCACCAATCTAAATCCTCAACATTTCATCCAGTTTGCCATTAAATATGAGGGCAAATTGGTTGTTTTCATGTTAAAATAAAATAAAAATAATTTAACATTTGAAATAATAATTAAAACAATAAAGTAATATATATATGTATATATATATATATGAGTAATGCTACACTTACCATATTTTTATCTCACATTTCTATACCATATGATGTGGCATGACCATATTATATGCCACATCAATTAAATCAATGAAGTGTATTTTAATTAAAACAATTAGAAAAATAAATACTAGAATAAATCATAAAAAATATATATATTAAATAATTTTAATTGATGTGGCTGTCCACTTCAGCTGCCATATAAGGTATAGAAATGTGGTATACAAATGTGGTAAGAGTAGCATTATTCATATATATATATATATATATATATCTCCAAGCTCTTCTTCCCCAAATCCCAGCCTCCCATGTCCTCTTCACAAATCACACCACCACCCATTCTCTCTCCCTTGACTTCTCTTTATGCCCTCATTGCACCCAAAGATCGAACACATCCCATACAACAACACCAAAACCACCACCACCATCTATTTGAACAAAAAAAAAAACCCAGATGCATAGATTTGAACATAAAAAAACCATATCTATTTGGGCGAAAACCGTACCAAGTGCAAGCAAGTTGTGGTAAGGTGGGTAACTTTGTGGGTTGGGGCTGAGCCTGGGGTTTGGGGGAAGAGAGAGAGAGAGAGAGAGATGGTTGTGAGGTGGTGGTTGTGGGAGGGTGGGCTGCTAAGAGGGGAGGCCGCAATGGGTAAAGGGGTGGTCGTGGGTCTGAGGGTGCATTGCGAAAGGGGAGACAATGACGGTGGGGAGGGGGGGGGGGGAGGGGGGAGGGGGGATGGGTTACGAATGGTGATAGGTATTTTTTTTTTCTTTCTCTCTTTTTCTTTAATTTGTTTAAAAAATAAATTTATTTTTATTGATTTAACAGAAAATTGGATGAAATGTTGATGATTTAGACGGCAATGGGGAA